GGGGTTTGGGGAAGGATAACATTAGGCAAAATACCCAATGTAGATGAAGGGGGGATGGATGCAGCAAACCACCATGGCATGTGTATACCTATGTAACAATCCTGCAAGATCTGCACAGGTACCCTAGAACTTAAAGTATAATAATAAATTTTTTTTAAAGAATCATGTATTTTAAAAATATTTAAAAATAAATAATACATTCAGATGGTCCAAAATTTGAATGGTATGAAATAATATATGGTGAGAAGCAAGTCTTTCTCCAACCCTTCACCAGCCACCAAATTCCTTTTTCAGAGATAACTGTTGTCAGTTATTTGTGTTTGCTTCCAGAGAAATGCATGTACAGCATACAGGTATAAAAATATGTCATGGAAGTTTAAACAGAAGCCTCAGAAGTAATAAATGTTATGCTATAGCATCTTTTCCCATCTGTCTTCTATTATTCAGTTGTATATAGAACATTCCTTCCATTAGAGTACCAGCTTCTCAGGAGCAGACAGATTATTACTCAACTATCTTTAAAGTTGGTTAACATATATTTTTGCCATTATAGGAAATATTTATTCAATTAACTTTGGGAGAGTTTAGACAAAATAACTTATTGCCTGGAAATGTTTGAGGAAGTCATATCATGTAAGATAGAAACTAGATATTTGCCCAGTCCATGGTATATGTAATGATGATATAAGATTACATATATAATTAGCATATTTCATTGTCTCTATTCCTGCTACTGCCGTCCTATTTAAGGCCTTATTACTTCTCACTTTAGATAAGGTAAACTAACAGACCACCCTTTCTCTATCCTTCTTCCATTCTTCCCTCTATCCTGTACGTCTTCCATAAATTCCCTACACACTGCTGCCAGTGCATCCCCCTAAAACTACAACTTTAATCACGTGATTTTATAACCCTGCTCCTAAATTCCAGTCATTCCCACAATCCACCTAAGTAAAGTTTAAACACCTTTGTATAGCAAGTCATTTCCAATTTTACTTGAAATTACTTTTCTAGTGTTATCTTCAGAACATATATGCTATTTACACCAATTGTACTACTTGCTTTTCCACCAAACAAAAGTTGCTAAGATCCAGTGTTATGTAAGATGACATAAAGACTTTTTTTCAAAAAGTTTAATCTCTCTTATCAATAGTGTGTTTCTTTATATTTCGTTTAACTTTCTTCGTATTTCACTATATAGGTAGCAGAAAGAAAAGTTAAACACTTCAACTGAGATGTAGAAAAAATAATGCACATACCTTTAATTGCATTTTTCTACATCTTAGTTGAAATGTTTGAAGTTGAAATCATATAACAGCATGATTCAGAGGCTTATAAATAACTCAATTTTTCTTTTTAAAAATAATGTAAATTCCTCTGGCCCTAAAATGCTTTTGTAAAGAAAAAGAACAATACTCTTAAATAAGTGAAACATTATTTTTCTATGGAGATGTACTAGATTTTCTGTTGACTTTTACTCTTTATCACATTTCTGTGTGTAATCCTCCCCAGATTTGAGTATTTCCTCATAAAGGTTTAAAAATTGGTCTAGAGAAAATTTACTTCCAAAACTTAATGAATATTAGACTTAGAAAGCCATTTGTCAATTTAGTGGTGAAATGATGGCACTCCCAATGTTTTGCAAATTTTCTTTCACCTTGTCTTAAATTTCTTTGAATTACTAGTCAGGTGATTTTGCTATGCTTGTGAGCTGAGTCACTCTTAGCAACAGTAATAAATAAACAAAACTAAAAGTATACTGTAACTTATGTAGATTTTAGAAGAGCTCAAAATTTGCTTTTATTTGCTCTAGACAATAATTATATTTAAGGCGTTTCTACCTGTCAGATGATCTCAGTGGTAGGTATCTTCAAAAGCACAGAAATATGTATTTCCATATGCTTTGCCCTTTAAGTATGAGTAGGTTATATTTCTCTTAACGTCCATCAACAGTTGAAAAGATGAATAAATTCTGGTACATTTATAGCTGAAATACTATATAGCAAGGAGAATGAATCAGTCATTCTTCTACCCAACATCGGTTTATCTCACGAACTACTCAGCTTAAGAAATATTATAGGATTACCAGTACTTTATAGGCCTGACATATACCCTCCCTGAAAATATATATATAATTTCCCTTCAGAGGAAACCCTTTGTATTAATACCCTTGAAATTAATCATTCCTTGGACATAGGTGGGATATATAAATAGGAGCATAATTCCTAGGTCATAAATTTAGGTATCTTATAAAGAAATCCTAATGCTGTGTGACACCATCTCTTCCCTTGATCCCTCCTGCCCTAGAAGTGGTAGAAGCTTCCTGCTCTTACCTCCTCCCAAACCTGCCTGCTGTTTGGCTTGTCAGCTATTATAATACCTTTGTTGTTTGTCTTGATATTAAATTCCCACTTTAACTTTCTGACATGGACTCTGTTTCCTGCCTGATATACTCCATATTTCTATTTTTTTATTATGTGAATTGGGATCTCTAATACCATCACATTTCGTGAGGAAGTTTAAGACTTCATTGACTATAAGATTTATTCTTATTTTATGTACCATTTCCATGGAAAAATGCTGTACAATTAAACTGTGAGTTTTTATTTTACATTTTCACTGAAAGCATATTCATTTAGAGTTAATTAGACTTAGGCTTCTATTACATATCCCTCTTATGCATAATACAAAGAAAATCCTGGTGCACAAATGGTTAAGGTCTTCCAAAATTCTTTATATTAAGAGGATAACTCTTCTTGATAACTTTTTATCTAACAGTGATAAAATTGTATGCTTTCTCGCACAATATTATAATTTGGTCATCAGAAATGTTAATAAAGTCACATTTTAAAAAATCCATAGAGTAACCAAAAGTCATTGTTGCTGTGCTTGTTAGCTAGGTTTAGACTGATATTAGAAATAAGAAATCATCCATAAAAGCAACAAATACTATAAAGTAGTTGAGATTAAACTTAGCTATAAGTAATTCATGAATAACTCATCTATTTATTTCTACTTTGGGAATTTTGAGAAATCCTCTTATTCCATACTTCCCCCTGTACAACCATTCAGTTTGGAAGGGTTAAAAGAGTGCATTATGGCAGGACTTTCTCTGTAGGACTTTCTTTCAAATCTCTGACTCTCTTTCTATAAAATTTGATGTTGGACCTTTTGGTATTCATGCATGTATAAGCAGTCACAGCTGTATTACAACTACTGCCAGTTTGATACACATTATTAAATACCTGAATTGGGAAATTCACTTCAATTTCAGAGATGTATAACCTGAAAATATGTGTGTTTTGGAATTGATGAGATTGATAATTTTACATTGAGTTTTAAAAAAAATCTATGAGAATTCTTTGCACCTGAGTTGATGTTGCTTTCTTATAGAGAGGATTTGCCAGTTGCCTAGAGTCACTTCCAGTCTTGAAGCACTTTAAATTATATTCTTTGTTCAAGATACTTTTTGGCCATGCAGTTAGTATGAATTTGGACTATAAATTCCTGGGAGGAGCCAGCTTGTGGTTATAAATGAGTATTCTTAGGGGAGAATTTTTTCCATTCTATCTAGTATCAAGGTTGAGATCAGCAAGTTTTTTTTAAAATTTTTTTTGCTGATTCTTCTGTATGTTGTTGTTTGTTTTGTTTTGCTTTGAATTGATTTGATGTTTCTTTCCTATTTACCCTTACACCTTTGGGTCTCATCTTTATGAGGAGTTTTCCGCTTCCACACCTTGGGCAGCTAGGCTTTATCTGTTGATCTCCCTTCCATATTCACACAGTTATCATTGTAGTTTAAATCTCCAGGATTTTGCATAATGTCTTAGAGTGAGGCTGACTTTGGTGTTGACTTACCTCCTAGGTTTCACTTTGACTTCTGCAGAATTCTTCCTTTTGAGTCAGCTCGGCAGTGCATTAAAAAAGTGTTCTTTTGGCCGGGCGCGGTGGCTCACGCCTGTAATCCCAGCACTTTGGGAGGCCGAGGCGGGTGGATCACGAGGTCAAGAGATCGAGACCATCCTGGTCAAAATGGTGAAACCCCGTCTCTA